CTCCCACCTCAGCCTCCTGAGTACCTGGGACTATAGGCACATACCACTATACCTAGCTAATTTTTCTACTTTTAGTAGAGATGGGGTTTGCCTTTTTGCACAGGCTGATCTGAAACTCCTGGGCTCAAGTGACCCACCCATCTCGACCTTCAGAAGTGCTGGGATTACCCACCACAAAGAAAATGTTTATGAGAAGGAATATGATGACTTCCATTTTTGAAAATACGGAAGACTAGTCACCTAGAGGATCATCCAGTATGAAACTAAAACTTCAGCATAAGATAAACGTGTTATTGTACATTTTATGTTAATATTACACATTTTATAATATATTAAAACATACATATTTTATTTTAAATTTTTTTAGAGAAAGATTCTCACTGTGTTGTCCTGGATGAACTCTTGGGCTCAAGTAATCCTCCCACCTCGACTTCCCACAGTGCTAAGATTACAGATGTGAGCCACCATGTCAAGCCCTAAAATACATTTTTTTAAAAATATTTTCAAATACCTGGATGGACTGATGGGAATGGAAAGAAGATTCTTGCTGTAGATAATAAGAAAATACAAATGGACAAGACATTATAGCTCATACCTGTAATCCCAGCACTTTGGGAGGCCGAGGCAGGCAGATCACTTGAGGCCAGGAGTTCGAGACCAGCCTGGCCAACATGGTGCAACCCTGTCTCTACTAAAAATGAAAAAATTAGCCAGGCGTGGTGGCGTGTGCCTATAATCCTAGCTACTAGGGAAGCTGAGTTAGGAGAATCACTTGAACCCAGGAGGCACAGGTTGCAGTGAGCTGAGATCGCATCACTGCATTCCAGTACGGGCAACAGAGTGAGACTCCGTCTCAAAAAAAAAAAAAAAGGTAAAATACAAAGTGCCAGATTTACTCTGAGGGTACCTGGCTGACCTTCGGGGTTGTATGCTAGAGAGAATAGAGGGAAACTTGAGTCCTGTAAAGACCGAGGGGACCAGCTGGCCAATATCCACATGATACCAGAATCTCAGACAGGTTACACTGTCAGAGGATTGAACTGAGACATACCTTAGGCGTACCTTGCTGGGGGTTGCCCGAGAAAGGCAAGATTTACCTACGCTTTTAGATGAGGATGAAAACTAAAAAAGTAGCAGGGAGAAATCCTTGGAGAATGCATAAGCCCAAGTTTGTTATCGTGTGTTTTGGCCAGAATTGATACCATCTGTCTTACCTTTCTCCCCCCAGAATAAAGTTGAGCCAAATATCTGGTTAAAGTGTTCCCAGCAGAACTTACTAGGGTGATGGAAGTATTCCACAACTGGGATATAGTCATGCATAGCTGTAAATGGTACTAAAACTCAGCACTATCCAAAATAGCAAACTCATGGAGTCACCCCAGGTGCCCATCAGTGGTGGACTGGATGAAGAAAATGTAGTACATATACACCATGGAATACCACACAGCCATAAAGAAGAACAAACTCGTGTCCTTGGCAGGCAACATAGATGCAGCTGGCAGCATAAGCAAATTAATGCAGGAGGAGAAAACCAAACACATGTGTTCTCACTTATAAGTAAGAGCTAAACATTGGATACTCATGGACATAAAGGTGGAGGTGATAGACACTGGGACTGCTAAAGGCAGGGGGATGGCAAGGGTTGAATACTGGATACTATGCTCAAGAAAAGAAAAAATTACTAAAACTCAAACTGTATACTTAAAATAGGTGACTTTATGGTATATAAATTATACTTTAATAAAACTGTGAAGAAACAGCAAAATGTGTCACCTACCCTCTACTTATCAGAGACTTCTGTTCATGTTTTGGCACATTTTCTCTGTACTGGTATTTCTTTGTAGGGAGACTTTTTTCTAAACCTGTCAAACTCATGGTAATAACATTTTTATCCTCTTTCATTTAAAATTATAATGTTTTCCACAGTCATTGCAGTTACTTGTAAAATGATTTTTAACTCGGGCTTATTCTGTGTGTTTCAAAAGTATGTCTTGAATACTTTCTCATTTTAAAGTAATTTTAAACAGTAGAGCGGGACATAGAACAAAAATGAAAGTTCTCTCCTTAATACTTCTCCCACACACACATCCCAACCCCAATTCTCACTTCGCACCTCATGGGTAATCACTGTCCACAGTTTGGTTAAACAATTTTTAACTGGACGTATAATTTTGCATCTGGTGGGAAAAAAAATTATACTCAAATAGTTCTCCTGTTTGAGGACATTTAGGTTGTTTCCAGACTGAGCGCTCTCATTTAAAACCTAAGTGGCAGAGGGTGACATACACCAATAGACCTTAGATTTAATGGTCCTGTGTTACTGTGGTGATTTCCAAGTCAGGGATAGGCATTAAATTAGATATTGAATTTGGGGATAGCTTTTTTTCTTTTCTTTCTTTCTTTTTTTTTTTTTTTTTT